CTAGCATCAGCAGCTACCTTGTTTTATGTGCTGGAGTGATGTATGCAGAACGCAGTTCTTCACTCTCTGGAGGAGAGGATTTTGATTTTCTGTAATGATTTATGACAAAATTCCTTAACAAAATGAAAAACTGAACCGAGTTCATATTTATATAGATGGTAAAGTGTAGTTATACTGAATTTCTACCATTTTAATGCTGAGTCTGGCCAACACCTTACCCTTATCGACTTGCCACTACATCACCTACCTATGAAAATAGGTTGCATTCATTGCTATGCAGATCAGCATAATTAACAACCCTACAATGTACTCTCTCAACTGTTTAGGAGCACAGCTCTTTAGTTCAAGGCAAGTTCATCTTTAGATGTATTTCTAAAATAGTATCTGTTCGTATGCAGTAAAAGATTACAGGAATGAATAAAAAAATCAACAAGTCAAAAACATGATCAAATGCAAGGTACAAGTAAAAAAGAGCTGAATTAAAGTGATCGTTTTGAGAAACAGATCAACCGAACACTGTATTTGTAAACAGCCATTTCCCACAGGCTAATTAAACACTCACCCGTACTTCCCAGAGTTGCTGCTATTTCATTCCATGCCCTCTCCGTTCTGGTGTGGTCCTTATAGAAAGCATGCGAGCAATCATATAAAACGGCGTGGTGTTGCACCTCTATGATGAATCTCTCGTGGTCCATAATCACAAATAAACTCCGGGACCTGCTCTCGCGCCACTCGTGTTGACCCCGTGTCACAGGAAATTACGTCATACGCCGTAAAGCAATGAATGGTTTGCAGAGCGTTGATTAGAAACCCGACACAATACGTCTACATACTAGTATGAATAACGTGAACTATACACTGTGAACTAGCGTGATATATCCCTGTCGTTAAAAAGCTGGCCCACGTCTCACATGCATGGAGCCGCATGCAGCGCCCGGAAAAATAAGACTATTCGGCAGCGGAAACTCCATAGCTCCGCATCCGGATCCGAGAGGCTCCGCAGCTGTGCAAAAGATTCTTCTTCTTCTTTTGGTGTTTTATTGGCGGTTGGCAAACAACGAATGGTGCATTACCGCTACCAACTAGTGTGGAGTGTGGTCTGGAACAGCGCTCACAAAACAAATCAAACAGGGAGAAAAAAAAACTCAAATTCTCCCAAACATCCTTATCTCTTTCAAAAACCGAAATAAAATCTGAAAACAGACACTTTTTGAATTCTGTCTCAATAAATCAACAAGATCCAGTTTCACTTTCATCTGACTAAGATTTTGAACCATTGTCCTTTCCGCCTGATATTTCTGACATTGTAATATAACATGATCTATAGTTTCGTCTTCTCCACAATACTCACATTTCTCTGTACTATGTTTCCCTATCATGAATAATGTATTGTTTAACCCAGTATGTCCAAACCTCAGTCTAGCAATGATCACCTCCTCTCTCCTTCCAGTGTTTCTCATTTCTCCCACTCTTCTTTGAATTTTATACAACCATCTTCCCCTCCTTTCCTCCTCCCATTGTTTTTGCAATTTGTTTTTCATTTCTTGCCTTATTATGCTCTTGATCTCTCTTTGACAAAATTGAATATCTAACTGAACCGATGTATTTATTGTTGCGTCCTTAGCCATCTTATCGACTCCTTCATTACCTCTGATTCCACAATGAGCTGGAATCCATAAAAAAATGTATTTTAAGTCCCATCATGGCTATTCTATAAAGTATTAGCTGAATCTCTAGTAGTATGTCTGGTCTGCTTTCTGAATGGCTGCACGTTAAACTGGTTAATGATGAGCTGGAGTCTGAACAAATAACTGAGAATAATGGTCTGTTTTCTTCCACCCACTGAACAGCTAACAGTATTGCGAGCATTTCACCTGTGTGTACTGATAATCCATCACTCACCCTCTTTTACTCTAACATGAAACTCAGGAGCAATAAAAGCTATTCCAATATGATCTGCAGTATTCTTAGATGCATCTGTATATATTTTTACACAGTTATAATAGTGATCGATATAATCCTGTGCTGTATGTGAGTTTAGTATGAATGACCTTATTCTTTCTCCCTAATAAAGTAAAATCAACAGATGCCTCAGGAAGAATCCATGGTGGAATAGCAGGTAATGGAACTCTTTGACTGATTTTAAACTGATCTAATTTAAGTTCTACTGTTTTTTTGATCATCATCCATCCAAAACTTTTTGTTTACTTCTTTTCTTTCTCCCAGCAAGGTTTTAGTATGTCATGTGTTGGATGATCTTCTTTCTGACCCCGAAGATTTGCCCAATAATTTAAAGCTATTTGTTCACGTCTGATTGCTATTGGCGTCTCACCCATCTCTACCTGTAAAGCAGCTATAGGGGTTGTTTTAAATGCTCCTGTACAGAGTCTCGGTGCCTAATTCTGGATAGAATTTAATTTTAAAAGAGTAGTTTTTGCTGCTGAATTATATGCCACACACCCATAATCTAATACTGATCTGATCAATCCATTATATATGGTCTTCATAGAGTTCCTGTCTGCACCCCATTCACTCCCAACTAAACACCTCATCATATTTAGAACCTTTTTACTCTTATCCATTATGCTCTGAATATGTACACCCCAAGTTAACCTTTCATCAAACCATACACCTAAGAATTTAAATTTATTTACCCTTTCTAACTCTTGACTATATAATTTAAGTCTAAGATCCTCTCTTACTTTTTTCCTTGTAAAGAAAATCATCTTAGTTTTATCCACCGAGAATGTAAAACCCCATTTGTACGACCATTCCTCCACTTTGCCTATTGCTTCTTGAAGTTTCCTTACAATAAACTCCACATTTTCCCCTCTTTTCTATATTGCCCCATCATCTGCAAAAAGTAAAAACCCCATCCCATCTTTTATACCACTAAAAACATCATTTATCATTAGAGAACATAATAATGGGCTCACTATACTACCTTGTGGTGTATCATTTTCCACAGGAAACTTTTCAGACAAAATCTTCCCAATTCTCATTTGAATTTGTCTTCCCATTAAAAAGTTCTTGATCCATTGAAACATTCGTCCATTTTTCTGATTTTAATTAAAAGGCCTTCTCTCCACTTCGTATCATAAGCCTTTTCAATATCAAAAAATACAACAACTACACTCTCTTTGTTTATTTGAGCTTTCCTAACTTCCTGTTCTAAACATAAAACAGGATCCATCGTATTCCTTCCTCTTCTAAAACCACTTTGACAGTTAGATATGTATCCTTTACTTTCAATGTAGTACATTAATCTTTCATTTATCATTCACTTCATTATCTTACAAATATTAGATGTTAACGCTATAGGTCTATAGTTTCCTGGATCGGTATTATCTTTTCCTGGTCTTCTTATGGGTACAACCACTGCTTCCTTCCAGCTTTGTGGCAATATCCCACCCTCCCAAACTCTGTTATATAATTCTAATAAAATTTCTTTAGCTTTATCACTAAAATGGTTTATCATAATATAACAGATCTGATCTTTACCTGGTGCGGATACCTTGGATTTTTGTAAAACTCCATTTAATTCTGTTTTTGTAAATAAAATATTTAACAAGTTATCATTATCTTCATCCTGTTCCAATAACTCTATATATTCCAGAAACGTATTTTCCCTGCCTCTTTGACCTTCTTCACTAACATTATCTAAACTATGAATTGTAACAAATGTCTTAGCTAACAAATTTGCCTTCTCTACGTCTTTTACTGCTGTTACTACACCATCATTTAATATTGGATATCCATATTCTTTCCTTATGCCATTCATTCTCTTAATCATTGACCAAACATTTTGTATTTTTGTCTCCCTCCCCACAGAATTACAAAAGCCCCTCCAATACTCCTTCTTTGCATTTTTAACAGTTCTTCTTACCTTAGCCTGTAATTTTTTATATTCCATATAATCAACAAAACAGTGATTCCTCTTTAAAATTCTAAAAGCTTCATTTCGATCCTTAATAATTTCATCACAATCCTTTGTCCACCAGGGTACCATCTTCTTTCTTCCCTTACCTACTTTCTTCTTTATTGCCTGGTTTGCTGCCTTCAAAGCTGCATTACAAACAGAAAAATTTAATGCATCAACATCAACATTCATGTCTATTTTTTCCATTTCCTGGTCACAAACAATTTTAAATTTTTCCCAATCTGCCTTACTAAAACACCAATTTTGTACTTTCCCTGTATCATATTGTTCTATATTGATCTCAAGTTCAGTCATTATGGGATAATGGTCACTACCAATAGTTGTTTCTTTCATTACCTGCCATGAACAAAAACCTGCTAACGAATCTGACACTAATGTGAGGTCAATTGCTGATTCTGTACCAGCTCTAATATTTATTCTTGTACCACTTCCATCATTCAAACATACATCATTTTTTGTTCCCATCATTTCCTCAACAACTGCCCCATTCCTATCATTGCTATTGCCCCATAAGGAACTGTGTGCATTGAAGTCCCCACACCAAATTACTTTTCCTTCTAAATGTGTATCTAGTTCATCTATATGTAATATTCTGTTGCCTGGATTATAAAAATTGATTACTTTAATACTACAATTCCTTGACCAGATTTCAATTACTATGTATTCTAACTGTGATCCTATATTTACAGTTCTACCGGATGTTTGGATCAAAATATGAACCAATCAGATCTTAGATCAGGTGCCAGGCGTTTCCCGTGTGCATCCTCTAAGTTTAGCAGCCGGTGGAGAGCAACTGCAGCGCCTTGCTCCAAAATCTGCGGCTGCCTTTATCTAACGAGGATATCGTTGCCTACGTATGCATGACGTCAGACAAAGGCGTCAGTTTGTTTTCAGAATTGCTGGGGACAATAACCATACACTTGAGTGGGGTTTAAAAATTGCTGGGGACAATAAATTAGGCTAGCACAGGGGTCGGCGGCTCTGGAGCCGCATGCGGCTCTTCCATCCATCTGATGCGGCTCTCTGTGTTTGTAAAATAATGAATGGATATTTAAATAAAATGCTTTATATTTTACTGCATTAATTTTACATCTGTATGCCAATTCTAAATGTAAAGATTGTCTGCGTAAACCTGAACAGGTCCAACCCGGTCTTACTGTGAGACCGGGTTGACGGGTCACGCTTGTGCGTAATCATATCGGCACTTTATGAGCTGAAGATGATGTGAGATTCTGGGATTCTCCTCAGACGGCACCTGGATGTGTCGCCACATTGGAGACAGGAACAAGCGCTATTCAGCCAATGTTTCATCATCAGGGAACATTTTCTAAGTGACAAGTCTCTCTGAGAGACCGGGTTTGGAAAACGCTCGCAGTGGGAGGAACCTTCCCGCATGTGCTCTGGGTGGCTCTGGGGTTAATCAAGTTTAATTGTTTCTCTTTGCAACAATCTTCACAAGAAGGCAAAACAGTTAAACGGCAGGTTACAGATATTTCCATTTGACTGTTTATTTTGACAGATGAACTCAAAGATGTTGCTCTGTTTGAAAGAATTACCCCGACGCACACTGATGCACATGGATGAGCTGACATTTTAATCGTTAACGCACATCGCGGAGGTAAAATATTCCCATCAGAACATCAGAGCTTTATACTGGTAACTGTGTTCAGCGCGGCTCGGAGCGCCCACGGTGGACAGTGAGCTGAAGATCTGGGGTTCGCAGCGCAGCGCAGAACCACGGCCATGCGATAAGATTTCCTCCCACTGAAACAGTCTGGAAACCCGGTCTCTCTGAGGGATGTGTCACTTGGAAAAATGTTCTTTTTATGAAATTATGAAACTTTGGCTGAACAGCGCTTGTTTCCGTCTCTAATATGGAGACGCATGATGCGTAGAGACATTTGATCACGCACAAAGTTCATGTGGAGCAGAAGCGATCGGGCCACGGCAGGTGAAACGTTCCTAGCCTACATGAAGTGAAACTGTTTAATTGTAACATTAATATGTTACTGGACACGCTGGTCTGGTTGGTTAGACCAGTGTTTGAAGTGGAAAACACACACACACACACACACACACACACACACACACACACACACACACACACACACACCAATTAAAATAATGCTGATAGCATGGACTAGAAGACAGGTGATGGTTTATGTATTTAAATGATGATCAGGCTGCTGTAAAATGTAATCTCCATCCACATCCAGACACAATCATCCTCTATTCTTTCTCTATTTGCTCTGCTCTTGTCTGGGCTGATCAGCTGATGGTGCACGCGGCGCGCCTAACTAGCGGCTGATGCACATTTTACGCATTTGGAGAGGTGGGCTGGATGCTTTGCTTTTACTGGAAGATGGTCCACTTAACGCACGGGTGTAGACTACATATTAATGACAAATGAATGAAAATTAAATTGTGAGTTTTTACTTCATATTTTATAAATAAAAAGGACGGGGGAACACATTTATGACGTCTTTTTAAACTAAATTTTCTAGCGCGACCTGCCTGCTTCACTTAAGTCACTGCTTATTAAGGTCCGTCCAGAATTACCGTGGGAAACGGGTAATGATGGCTCTTTGATGGGAATAGGTTGCCGACCCCTGGATAAGATCTGAGCTGGTAAAACAAAAATCCTCATCAGCAGGCGTTTTTGAAAGTGGGGGGGACACAGCTGCCAATCACAAATTTTGCTGGGGACATGTCCCCGGCGTCCCCGGTTAAAATGACGCCTATGACGTCACAGCAAGTCGGCGTCAAGTCGGACACAAATCTAACCGGCAAGCACTGCGCGCCGATCACCGGTGGTCAAATCTGCGCAGAACTGGCTTATCTCGAACACAGCCTATGATATCTATGCTCAGTACTCGGTGTGTGAATCTGGCGTCATTGACGAATACGTAGACGCCTCGTGGACTGGCGCTGCCGCGCTGCTCATTGGAGCTGGCTGGCCGACCGCCATCTTAGGTGGGTCTCCATTCGCTCCCAGTGCATATTATTGATTTGTTTCTATGAGGAAGGTGCTTGCTCAATAAAAAAAAACATGTTTTTCCACAAAATCAGACATTTAGTATGGCAGTATAATAAGAATATATATATAATTAAACAGCTTTAATTAAAATAAATAAAATGTAAAATCTCATCAGGTAGGCTAGTAAAGTCAACAGTAATCTCATATGATCGGTTTTCAATAGTAGTAATAGTTGTAATGGTAGGCTGCACAAAAAAGGGGCATAGTAGCTCACTCTGCATCGACTCCAATTCATGTCGAAGCTGGAGAGTGTAACAGCGTCGCCGCCATACTGGGCGGGTTCCTCACTCTCCAAATCCAACAGGAGTCAACACAGGGTGAGCAACTATGCCTGTTTTTCGTGCAGCCTACGGTTGCAGCAACCGGCACACTATTGAAAACAGATCACATGGGTTACGATCAGCTAGTCTACCTGTTGAGATTTTTTATTTATTTTATATATTTATATGTGAACTATCATGCCATACCATGTGTCTGATTTAGTGAAAAAGCATGACAAAATGTGTTTTAGCTGGGTACGCACCTTCATCGGTAGAAATAAGAGCACTGGGGCCGAATGAGAACACATCAAAGGCGGCAGCTGCTACACTAGCTCCAATAGGCAGTGCCAGTAGAAATACTAGTAGAGTGTGCTGGTCAGAGCTGTATGCACTGAGCGAGTACATTTTTATTCCACCTGAGTCGTGCAGAGCAGGGGTACAGTAGGAGACACTCACTGATGTTCCCTACAGTACGCGGAGAGGGTGAAACTTCGACTTGCGAATGTGGCTGCTGCACAGATCCAGTATGAATACCAACTAAAAGATAAACATCACACTTTATTTAGTCAAAACTGTATTGTTTTAATCTTTCCGAATGAAAGATTTTCACAGTATCAAAAGTGAATAAAAAAAGAAACAAGCCAACATACACTTGGCTATTGTTGGTATAGTATAAATCTACATTCGAAACATTAAGATAATCTTTTCTAATTAAGTATAACCTGGAAAGCATCAGATATTACATTAAAAACAAAATCTTGCACAGATTTAAAAAAAAGAATAAATCTTCATGAAAGCCTTCAGCTCAAAACATTTATACTGGTGTAAAAAACCCTAAAGGATCTATAGTCCTGAAGGTTTCTTCTGTGAGAGTTGCAAGGCTCCACACAAATAAGTTTAGGAGTGCGATGCCTTCAAGTTAACAATACAGGTAAGAGCAGTAGAATTAGAACAGGATGCTGACACACAACCCTTGGGAAATTAAAAAAAGATCGATTGGGCAAAATATCAACTCATTATGTACAAGAATTTAAATTAAATGCAACATTGTGTCATAGGTCTAACGTTAGCATTGCACAATAGGTTGCAAAGAGTTTAAATAACAGATTATAGGCAACAAACTGTCTTCTAAAGACTGCAGTGTTTTTGGATATCACTAGAAAAATTCATCACTAATGCCACAGAAGGGACAGACACTAAAAGCAACACACACACGAGCTTTGTCAGTAAAGAACTCGAGGGGGAGCAGAGTTCTGTTTCTTCAGTCCAACAAATCATCATGCTCAAGGTTACATGTGAAAAGATCCTTCATTGGCTTTAAAATTCATCCCATAGGCCAAATGCAATATATATATATATATATATATATATATATATATATAGTTAGGGATTATATTAGTGCTGTTGTCAAATTAACTTAAAATGGTCATGCTTTTTCATTTTTTAAAACATTTCATAACAAGATGGCTGAAGCAGCTAGGTCCACTGTTTACCATTTCATGAATTAGCTTGTGATTCACACTTAAAATATGCCTCAGATTAAAACCGTGACAAAAACAGATGCACCGACAGGCTGCAATGGCTGTGGAGTCTTTTCCTCAATATAAGATCCAAATGGACTTTTTGGACAAATGTACAGAGGAAGACAAATTCTGATTTGGGGTTGTGGAAATTACCTGGGTGATGAGCACCAACTTGAATTGATTCATCAGTTTAACATGTCTTAGATTTGTGATAAAACCATTTATTTCATGTAAGATAATAGTTTACATACTACATATGTAAGTACATGGATGCATTTGTCTTGTATATCATTCTTTGCAATGACAGAAAACAGTTGGCCTCGAGAACGCTCACAGGCTTTTCCTCAAATAGACTTTTGGTCTTCTGATGGTGATTTTTAACCAGGGTCCCTTGGCGTTGAGAGAAGAGGGATGGGGATGACAGAAGGCTTCGGGTCAAACAGGGCTCTACTGAAAGTATCTGTGGAGTGAAGTTGTGGTCCTCCCTCCCCCGACACCCGACCACGTTATTCAGCTGCATTGGAAGAAACCTTTTTGAGGCTGAAGTTGGACCAGTTCACCGCTACCTTCTGACGAGTTTGTTTAGCAGAGTCGAGACAAAACCTAAAGAGAGAAATAAGATTCAGTTCAACAAGTCAACAATTCAGATAAAATACTTTATTTTTATTGCTAATTAAATTTTGTTGGGGGCCCACAGCGGCCCAGGTGCCCTGATAAATGGCCAAACAAAACACCCTACAAAGGCAAGATTGGTTTTCCCCGCCACTCAGCCAAGACATAAGCGTTCAATATTAAATGAGCTAGCTATATGCTGACTGGCTATTTCACCGATGGCTGTGACGCAGCAATAAGTTAGAAACTTTGTGTACAGCTGTGTACCATATCCAAATAACTCAATAGGCAAGCTGTAGGCTATCTGGCATTCATTCCAAGTCTGGATAATCCAAGTAGCTCTATTGTTTTCTAATTGAAATTGTTATTTCAGTCAACCCGATCATGTGATCCCCAAAGCAAACACTCCTGACTGACCCAGGATCTGCTGTGTCAACTACTCTACACATTTTCTCCTGGATTTAATTGTTATGGTGGTTGCAGTGAGCGTCAGCAGAGGAGAGTTGGAGCCCGACGCTTAAGTTGATGGAGTGGCGGACAGGGTCATTTTTTCATCGTTTTGTGGCACTTCTACTGCTGATATTTATGGGTATGGTTGTCTGTTGTTGATTTTCTGTCCCTCACTCAGCTCTGGTGTTGAGTGTGAGATAGGGAGGCTGAGTCCTCAGCTTCCTGTAAAATCAGAAAGGGATTTACCACAATAACACCATGTGGACTCAAAAGCACAACTTCTCTTCATGAAAATCAGTTTGAATGTTTCTGATGGCACAAACTGGTAAATCAAAGTAAGCATGCAGTGTTATAGCAATGTTTTTTAACAAGGTTTTTTATTTGCAATATTTTTAAACTGAACAAACAACACAAAACAACCCCACCATCACCCACCTCGCTGCACTGGTTCTAACTCAAAAAAAGGAAACAAACATGAAACGAGTTTCAATGAAACACTAAATCAAAACACAAAAGTTATCTCACAAAAGAAATCAATTGCCATGTTATGCTGCAGCGACCACGCAGCAAGTTGTGCGCTCTGCTGAGAAGGTCACTGGCTGTAAACTCCCCTTTATACAGGACCTGTGCACTTCCAGGACATTGAGGTGTGCAGGTTGGATCACAGCTGACCCATGTCACCCTGGACAACCTCTTCGACTCGCTCCCATCTGGCAGTAGAGCTGAGGAAAATAATCAACTAATTGATGTGTCGAGATGCTGACCTAAACGATTCTGCATTGTAAAAGAGTACGCCATAATCGATTATAGTGGAATGCAGTTTTGTTTTTTTAACCAGTAGCTGTCAAAGTGGGTGTGCTCCACATTTACCGAGTAGGAAATATTGGTCCGCCTTTATGTGGTACTGCAGGGCTGAGCGCTAACCTGAGACAGAACCGGAACTTAGGCCCTGTCCACACGTAGCCGGGGATCTGCCAAAACGTAGATATTTTTCTACGTTTTGGCCTGTCATCCACACGAAAACGGAGTTTTTTCACACGAAATCGGATCTTTTTAAAAACTCTGGCCAAAGTGAAGATCTGCGTTTTCTCCATTTTGGGTGTCTGCGTGTGGACAGACAAAACCGGAGTTTTAAGGTCCGCAACGTCACTTTCCGCGACAAAAATGCTGACATCACGTGTGCGACCTATGTTTACACTAGCCGACAGCATGGATGCCCTCAGAGCTGCGCTCGCTTTATCAATTGTCCAAGCGCTTTTTGCTTGTTTGTTTTTGCAAACGGAATTACTGCTCCTTGCGGAAGACCACAGACGAAGGACGAGGTTAAGAACGGGGGAAGTACTGCCGTCTACAGGTCTGGCATGTCCTTAACAACGTATTTATCCGGGTACGTGTGGACAGAGTTTATTTTTAAAACGAGGTGGTGTGGATGCAAGTTTCTGGAGGGGCGGATATTCGTTTTTAAAAAACCCGGCTACGTGTGGACTAGGCCTGAGTCGGCCCAACCGGTTCAGTCGGATTTGGGCCGGTGATTTATGTTGAGTGGGTCGTCTTGCAGGGCGCTCCGCTCGCTCAATCAGCCACCGACAGGGAGAGAGAGGAGCACAGTGTCTGCTCACACGAGAGAGGATCGGAGGACGCACCTCCAGACACGCGTTATTTCTCCTCGAAGACGCCGGTTCAGTCGGGCTCAGACCGAGTGTTGTGATGTAGGGAGATCCGGTATTGGGCAGGGGGCGGGGTCACTGATGGCGGCTGCAGGGTTATCATCTGTCTCTTTAATTTAGGCACACGGAAAAGTTAAAGGGAGAGAGAAATGGAAGATAGAAGTTTTGGTTTTACTTTATTCTTTTGTTTCACGATGAAAAACTGATGTTAAATTCAGCTTAAAGAGAAACTGGGAGGAAGCTTTGGTTCATTTTAGGTTACAGGAGGTCTTGTTTCCTATCTGCTCCTCCAGAGACAGCATGGACATGAGGGTTACATGGTGAGGGCCACACAGGACAGGTTAGTGGAAAGGTGTGTACTGTAGGTGAGCTGAGCATGTGCTGACGGCCGAACACCGGATACACGACAGCGTTTGAAGCTGAAGGGAGCTCGTTAACAAACATCCACAAAAAATTAAGACACATTTTCGCCTAATTTATTCACTGACAATGCAAAAAATAATCTGGTAAGTATAACTCACTCAACCTGGAGTAAGTGGAGAAAATTTAGAAAGTTTACCAAATTATATTGACGAAGTTTCTGAGTTTTTCGTTATGAGTCCAAGGAAATCAGCAGCTGAGACCGAAACGCCTGGGACCAAGAGGAGCTGTCCTCAGGACTCGCTTGAGGCCTTATCTCCCCGGAAGGACATATTAGAATGATTAGATTCTATAGATAAACAGCTTTTGGGATTTGAGGGGCAACTTCATCTGCTTGAGGTTCTACACCAGGAGTTTCAGAACTTCCGAACATCTTTGGAGTTCAGCCAAGAGCAGGTTGAGCGGTTCGTTGCTGAGAACGTGTCTCTGCGGGAGTCCGTTTCTTCCCTGGAAGAGGGAATGATGCGGATCATCCAGGACAACAAGACTCTGAAGGAGACGGTTTGGGACCTTCAGGCCCGTAGCATGAGGGATAATTTGGTGTTCGCAGGCCTGCCGGAGCAGACAGGAGGGACGGAGAACTGCGAACAAACAATAAAAAACTTTCTCCAGACTCAAATGAAGATACCCAAAGAAACGGTAAAAAACATCACCTTTCACCGGGTACATCGCCTTGGAGCTAAAAGAGTGGACAGCAGAAGACCTCGTCCCATCGTGGCTAAATTTGACCATTTTAAGCAGAAGGATCTTGTTAAAAGTCACGGAAGAGAGCTCAAAGGAAAAGATTTCAGCGTGAATGATCAGTTCCCGAAGGAAATCCTGGATCGGCGCAGAGTCCTCTTTCCACTGCGCAAAAAGTGTATCCAGGATGGGAAGAGGGCTGTCATCTCGGTGGATAAGCTTTATGTGGACAATAAGCTTTACAAGGAGCGAGGAGTGACAGACTGGCTGTATTAGCCCAACATCAGGTCAGACATTTACTATTCTTATCAGGATTCACTGGGTTTGATCACGTCAGGATTAAACAGCTGCTAAATCCGTTTTCTAGATGATATCACCTGTTCATCACCACCTCACACCCTATCACCTTTTCTTTTTAGTTCTTTCTTCTTCTTTAACCTGTATCTGTATTTTCCTTTCCTCTTTACCTGCTTCTGTACCTTTACATCTGTACGGCACAACTACGCAACTTTCCAACACTGCGTCACTCAGCACGCGTACACACACACACACACACACACACACACACACACACACACACACACACACACACACACACACACACACACACACACACACACACACACACACACACACACACATTAAAATCACAGCACAATATCATAATTTATGCGTCAAATAATACAACCACAAACACTGTTGGATCTTTATTATTATCATCATTTACTTTTCTGTTATTTATTAACATATTATTATATACATTTAGTTACTTATTCCATCTTATTCACATGAAGGCGTCATATTCTAGCCACTCACACACACATCTATGGGTGCACTAAGGTTTGTCTCATGGAACGTACATGGAGCTGGCTCCAGAGAGATTTTTGATCAGCTAAAGAGAGTGCAAGCAGACGTAATATTGTTACAAGAGACTCATAGATCTGCCACATCTGCAGATGAACTTAAAACACCTGAGTTTCCCAGCATGTTCTCTGCCTGCTATAACTCTAGCCAAAGAGGTGTAGCTATTTTAATACACAAAAACTCTATTTCACAGTATTGGACAAAGTCTCTGATCCAGAGGGTAGATTTATAATGTTAAAAATATCTATACAGAACCAAAGCTTATGTATTGTCAGCATATACTGTCCAAATAGTGATGACCCTTCATTCTTTCATAATTTTTTCTCTGTACTCTCCGAACACTTGGACTGTCCACTTATACTTGGAGGTGATTTTAATTTTTCGATGAACTCTTTAAAAGACAGGCTCAGTACAGCTGGGACTCAGCGCAATTGGCAATCCACTAACATAGTTAAACAGTACATGAGTGATTATGGGCTTTGTGATGCATGCCGATCTCTTCGTCCTAACCGTAGAGTAGGGCTGCACGATATTAGGAAAACCTGCGATATTCGATAACAGTGCTTAATATTGCGATGTCGATATTACTCACGATAAATGAACAAATACTAAAGTATGCAGTGTTGATGTCGTCTGGCGTGTGACGTCTGCTCTGGGCTCAAAGCAAACAAAATCTAATGCATGAATTCCATTACAACATAACATTTTTATTGCAAAAATATGGAGCTGCACCTGCTACTGTATTAGCAGCAAAACAACAAACTGCATGCATGCAGTTTCTCAGTGACTTTAAAACATCACCACCACCATAAAACTTGTTCTGATCCTCCAAATACAGAAAAACATCCCTTACCAGGGTTTTTAAATAAATAAAAAAATCAGAAAATAAGTTTAAATGTTAAATAATAG